TCGGTTTCGTCAACCAGGTAGTATGACTAGTCCTCACATTTAGAGTGTGATTTATAGTCAAGTATTTGGTGAATGAGTTAATTGTTTCTCTCATTACGAACGCATCAACAGAAACCATTGTCCAATCATCAGTGTAAATCTAATAAATATCAATAGTTAATTTGTGTTTAAACGATGAATGCTAAATTCCGTTGTTAATGTATGTTAACAACGATATGTCTACAAATAGAATAAGCACTGGACTTACCAAAATGGTTGCTGTTTGTGTGTTTGGACAACCCTCCGCAATAACTAAACATCACCTGTACAGGATATGATGTAATTTTTCTTTGGGACAAAATGTCAAAATAATTCAAAATTCTGATTAATTAACTTCTATGTACTTGTTAAAAATATCATCTGACGGCCAACAACATAGCTGAGCTAATAAAAAACCGAACAATTAAATAATTCAAGTTTATACATTAAGCTTTCATATCACTCCACTTATCATGTCTGTTCGAAGACATCTTGCATACATACAGTTGATATGGAGCCATTAGCTTGGCAAAACATTTTTATAAAACTAATTTCAAAATATTAACAAAAAGGCGAAAGCCTCTGAATCCTGAATACCTTTACTCTGATTACATTGAAACACTTCACGTTTGAAAAATATGTTAAGTAGTGTAGAATAATAGTATTAAAGTTAAAATTAAGAACTGTTTCTTTATCGTGCAAAGGTCAAAATTCAAAAACCAAAATAGTTCTCAAAGACTAAAGGATGATGAATTTATAGTGGTGTATATGTCTGTAAAACGTATTATGTGAACAAACAACAACCGGTTAAAATGGTTTACTGACTGTAAAAGGAAATTTATGTAACATAATAAAAAGACTCAATAGGTTTAACTTCGAGAAATACATGGAATACACATTATATTACATCATTCATGATATAAAATCCGTCAAGATATGAACTGAGTAACGTCCAAAACAAAACTGTTATCACAGACAGGTAACAGGGTAATTAGCCAAAGTCCTGACATAAGAAGGATATCTAGTGACCTTCATGTAATACCTCATGACAACAGATTGTACATAACCCAATCCTTTGACCATCGTTTATCTTGTCTAGTATGGGAACATGTTTCATTTCACCTTTTTCGTTAAAACGCGAACTGAAACTGACAGTTCTTACCACTTAGCGATATCGTATCAATAATCGACTATTTTTTTATCTGTGAATTTACCAGTTAACCTGGGATCATAACAAAGTAGGAGGCTTCGATGAATGGTAAAAGCTAGACGATCTCTAAAGATAATAGCAGTGCCTATAGAAAGTAAAAGGATTTGTCTATCCATCTAATATATACAACCTTAAGATATAGTTAAATAACAAAAAATATTGTTACATTGACCTTTAATTCCTGTATCTCATTCGTTTCGCACAACACTTTACCCCGTTTTATTTTACACTCCCTAACTTTTCTCTGAGTAATTTCCTCCACTTGCTAATTTATTGATTTTAAGGGTACTAAATTAAAGTAATACATAACTGTATTTGATCACATGTCGATATTGTCTATTTTCTACAACTGCACACACATACATACAGTAACTACTTTACAAATTTAGTCATGATTTCATAACAACTAACAATAATAAGGTAATTATGTTATACGAAAATAATTAGGAAAAATACTTGATTTTAGTTATTAAATTATTTCTTTAAAACAATATTATTGGAAATAAACAAATCCAACGAATTCGTATGAGGAACTTGTGAAGATTGTAGTATTTTCACAGAAATTCAACGAATACAGTCAACCAATCTAATTATTTATAATCGACTGTCATTAGACTAATATGAATATTTTTGTAAAGATTTAAAAAGAAACGGTTTCGTTGAAGATTAAATGTTTACACTGATTTAGTTAAACTATGATTTTGCTTCATTAGAATTTTAAACGTAACCATACTAGCATAAAAATTTAGTATAAAGCCAAAATAACCCTGTTCACCATTATATAACAGAAAACTAGATGTTTAAGGCTATAATCGCAGCTCAGTGAACAAAAGACAAATTTACATATTTGCCTTTGGGTTACAAGTTTTTGTATGCAAAAACTATTGATACCATTCAGTTTTTCAGGTTAAATTATATATCAAAAGACTAGCAACTTCAACGTAACAGTTACATGTTTCAACTTTGTTCTATCATAGCTTTAAAAAGAGAATAAAAGTATTACTATTGTCTGGTAACATACTAAAAAATTTGATAATTGCAGAGATCCAGTTGATGAAGTCTAGGTCACTACCAAAACTGAGAAAACTTGTTATTATAGTTAATTATTTTACGCATATGACAGTGAGAGTTCGAAACAGCAGAAATAGACCATATTGAATTATATGCGTTGGAATAATTAATCCCATTCAGAATACACAATTCGTATGAAAAAATTGTGTAGTATGGATGATTTTAAGTACTAGCAAATTTCTTTGATTACAGCATAAGAACCAATGCCCTACTAAATACAATGTAATTATAAGTTGTTTTAAGGGTACTTTGCTAAATACATTTAAGAAGACACCACATAATCATTTAATGTAATTCACTAGGTGAAATACATGTTCCTATTGAATAACGGGTTGAGGCTAGTCACTAAGGGTTATGAATACCTCTAAAATATTCAAACTGAAAACATAGTGTTTATGGATGCGGTGGTCAGCTCAAATGTTTGGGCCATCTATTTTACAATTGTGTAGAAACGGCAAACTATCTTGTTTTAGATCTTTTCAAACCGAATAATAATAAATGCTAATTGTGTGTACTCACACGTTATTTTGAAAGACTTACAACCTACAGCGATGCTGAATACTGAGGATCTCATATCGAAGCACAGAACTTACTGATACATTCTCCTTTTTGTCTACCCTTCGAAATTCATTTATTCAACATCTGATGCATAAAAAGTTATAACAATTAAAGTGATTGTAAAATTTACCATTGAAGATGAGTAAGAGATACGAACCACCGGAAAAGTATTTATAGATATAATTTTTGGATTATTACAATTCGAGTATATGTTAATGGGAAATTTACTGCAGTACTACAAAATTTATACTGAGAATTTCTAGATGCAAAAGAATTTATAATGGTGGATAGAGCTATTCTTATAACTGTTATTATTATGATCAATCGAAAATTACGGAGAATACGAAGATAGGTTTGTACTGAAGATCTACTGAACAGTGATAGGAATTGATTGTTTACCAAAATACCCTTAGCTTGTAGAGACAGAGATGTACATTAAAGATTTGTTGAAACAAGCAACCATAAATAGATCTATAATGTCCTTCAAAGTGGGACGAACAATTAGTATGGTAAAAGAGCAAGAAAGTGTTTTTAGTCATGATAAAATTCAGGATGCTTTGTATGAAGAATTTCGGCATGTAAAAACAGATGTTCAAGTGTACAAAATAAAAACAACAAAAGTGGTAAAAACAGTTTGGATGCCTTCAACATTTTTAAACAAACAAACAGAACCCTATAGCTAACTTATGCGTAAATTTTTGTACAAAAATTCACTGTGACAAAACTAAACATCATACTAAACTTGAGTTGACAGCAGTATGTTATCAAACAAGCCAATTAAATAAAATTGACCAAAATTCAATGACAATATAACGCAATTATCTTTAGTACTTGCTATCATTTTGGATCTAAATATCTTGATTTTAACTGTTAGAATCAGCTAATGAGACTAAATCTTCATTTACTGAAATAAGTTGGACATGTGCAACATGCCTCAAACCACCTATAGATGCACAAGGTTGGCTGGAAGAAAACTTAGGGTGGCGAACGCAAGACATGAACTGAATTTCATGAAGCTATTGATTATTGAGTAGACGTAGAACAACTACTTAAGAAGTCAGCGTGATGACCGTGATCAGTGGTTCAGGATCGATTTTAGGAGCATAAATGCGTTTACCCTCTATTTCTCCGTGGATTTTAAGTTGCAATATCTCTTATAACTTTTGTTCTTTGAATTCAATCCTTCTGCTCAAATAGTGTTCTCCAGTGCTTTGTCTTTCTCAGTATCACTGACACTACTGCTTATTCTGTTAACATCAACCTGCTGTATCCGTATGCTATAGTAACTTCGGTAGACGCACATTTGTACCAGGCTCTACGTTAACCATAAGAGATTAACTTCTCGAAATCCTAAATGATATCAGGGTGTTTGGAAACAAAACTAATCACTCTACGTTTACCACTGGAGATAACTCTCAGTTTATTATTAGGATGAAATGTATTCACCAGTTAACGTTCTCTTAAATTAAAAAAAAACCATACTCAAATTGTTTTATCATACAGAATAAAATCTGAATATAAATCGACCGACTATTTGAAACACTAGATAATCTTGTGTATAAGAAATCTGAAGTTAACTGTTATTTGTACTCGACAAAGACTGGTAAACGAATATAATAAACGCTACTCTCAAGAACTATTACCAGAACGATATGTTCAGCAAATAATGTCCTAAGGACATTTCATATGAGATCGAGGTGGAGCTAGTACTAAGACGGTATCAAACAACCCACCTTGAAGAGAACTCCGAAATGAGTGAAATAATCCACTCATACGACTACTTTGTTTGCTATTATTAAATGATGCACGAATGCAGATCACTTCCTAAAGCCACATTTCCTTTTCTTGAGAAGTGGAATGTATCTCAAACATTTCTGGATTGTTAAATGTTTAAAAGAGTGCACATTCTCTGAGTCTTTACTAAATAGAAGAACTTCCAAATTGATAGGAATGTCAGTCGTTATAAGTAAGAAGCTAGACGACCATCTTTAGAGGCAACTTTAGCCAACCTATTAAGATCTTCCGGTATACTCTCGCATAAGTTATTACTCCCTAATTATTTGCTAAAAGTTTATGGTTAGATGCCACTCTCTTATTCAAGTTGTTAATGGTGATGTGCAGTTACTCACAATATTATGCATACCTGTTCCGCTATGTGTTTAGAAATTGATGTATTTGTAATAGGAGGATCTTGAAAACTTTGTACACTTCCGGGATTTATTTCGTCGTTCGAGTGTTCTGAGCATTCTATATGTGATGGAGATACTGATGTTGGTTTTGGTAAAACAGAACTGAGACACAGTGGGCGATTGGTTATTCCACAAGATGATGGCCAAATCATTTCACACGACAAAGGTTGTTCAATCTGTTGATGAATCTGTGTTGATTTGAGTGTGTGGCTAGATATTGCTATTGGGTCATATTCAACATATTCCATATCATTCAGATGAGATTGTACTGACTTTTGTTTAGGATTTGTGATCATATTATCAACAGAACTGTATTTACCATACTGCAAATTGCGAAGATAATGGCAACAGTTATGACTCCTTAATTCTGATGAAACCCCTACTGATACTTGCCGAGAAATTAATTCGTTCAATTTTAAACCGATTGTAGTGACCTAATATTCATTTCAAGAAATAAAAATTTAAATCATGAAATACGAAACTTTGAACAATTATAAGAAATATATCAAGGTGTATATATTTAGAAATAAAACAACAATATTTTGGTATAACCTGTAAAAATGTGTGCTTTTCTGTTGCTGATACTCCAAATTGAATTGATCAGTTTTTGTTAGTATATAGGTTTCGTAAATGGGTTCTCAGGTGTTGCCTGATTTTTACAGGTTAACTGCATTTCGGATGACGATTCGTAATGTAATTGTCAACTTTCGTGTAGTTTTATTTGCGACTTGTCGGTCGGAGATACTTGTATCATTGTGATCCATCAGTCAGCTACAACGTAGGACCGGGCACATATGTGCATCGGTCCAAGTTGCCACACCTCATCAGCACAACAAGATGAATAACAAATTCATAGAAGTTACTTCAATGGTAGTAATATATATAAAAAAAGATTGTGTATAAGGATATAAAACAGGAAGGAAGAACTAGTTCATAGAAATAAATGTATGAAGCAATTTTAATCTCACCGTTTAAGGACAGACAAATAGTGTGTACACCGACGCCATTGTGATCGATTCTGAGCCACGTAACACAGGGTCTCCAAACATTGGTTACGATAGTCACACGGACGTCAACCAAGTAGTCTAAATCTGCCAACATGGCACAGATCAGAAGTTAGTGACCTCAAGGACTGATGCCACGATTTGGTTTAACTGCCCCTAACTTTCTTCCAACCATCCCCAACACTAGTCATGATTGTGCGTCACGATAATCGGTGTTCAGGTATGGGTGACACGTGGCCCAACCATCTCAGTCGATGAAGGTTCGCAACCTCATCAACTGATTTACATTACTTCCTAATACCCTGAGTCTAACCTCACCATTACCTACCCGGTGATCCCAGCAGATGCGAGCAATATTTCTAAGACAACTGTTGTCAAATACTAATAACATACGAGTATCTTCTACTCTTAATGGTCATTTTCACAGTCGTGAAGTAGAACAGAACGAACCGCCGCACAGTATACTCGTCCTGTAATTGACAGACGGATACCTTGCCTTCGCCATAGGTGGCGTAAGTTGGCAAAAGTTAGACGAGCTTTTTGAATACTTGCTGAGATTTCGTACGTCATAAACCAATCCTCTGCAAAATTACGAACTGAGGGTCTTACATTAACTTATAGTTTGTACTACTAACATTCGCCTTCACTTCTGTTATGCTGTAATCTTAAATTAGCTATTACCTCGCATACAATTAAACTGAATGACCCATTGGTTTCATTGGTGGGTTCACTTGACATATTATCAATGTAGTTGATTATAAACAAGTGTGCCTTTTTTATTAGAGTACTTACATAGATAGCTAAGCAACTTAGCCGGTTCTTAACCTTGGTGATGAGGCTCCGAAAAATTTCAAAGATGTATTGAGTTACATTCGCCGTGACTAATATGGTGAACGACAGCCATCAATATGCAATAAATACCAATGGAACCTGGATCAATCAGGTAATTTCGATGGCCTATTTAGTGTATTTTTCACCAAATTAAGTAGTAAACAACATTCATTCTTTATTGACACCTTCGAATCTGCCCTAAAGCTGATTGAGGAAGATAATCGACTGAAAGTTCGATGACAGCTGTCGCTAAATTATGGTGAAGTTAATCAGTTAATCTATAAATTTCGAATAATCAGGGATTTTTGAAAATATCACCATATGAAAAGAACTATAGGACTCTGATTACGTTCTACAAATACCTAGCTATACATTCATTATAACCAGAGTAGGAATTGACAATAAAAGGGTCAAACGATCAAATGGTGGGATAGATTCATAGATCAGATTCAGAAGTTTTGTATGATAATACACTAACTTCGCCGAACGTATGATACGTTCTTCTAACGTAGTCTTGGCCAGAGATTTCTCTTCCTCAATGATATGTGTGACAAACAGTCTGGTGCCCTATATAGCTGTTCTTAAATAATAACAGTGAAAAAGGTATTTAGACGATGTAATAATAAAAACTATGTTTTCAGCAAAAAAATGTTTGACTCTGATAGATTTAGGGATTATGAACATTAGGCAAAATACCATAATATCACCTGATATTAAGAACTTTAACAAATGAGTTCATACAATGCACTAAGAGAATAATTCTCAAAACTTAACATTGAGCACAGAAAATAAGGTTCCTGAAAATGATAATAACAACTTTGTAATACCACTGCAAAATATATTTAGGTAATTTTTTGCTTCTTGCACATTTTATTTTTAAATAAAGAAAATCTACACGAAAAAATTGGAGTAGAACATTGCTTGACTAGAAAGGACACATTATCGCGAAACCCCACAGACAGACAACTGGTTCAATACAAGTGTTTAGTATTTTTTTGTCAGTCTTTTTATAATATAACTAATTTTTAATTCTAACTATAAACATTTTGTGTTCATTTAAAAATAATTTTATTGAGAAATAACATCAACCGAAAAACCATTCATACTCACCTAAACTTATAAATCAAGTCCATATAATAGTAATTCCTTTAAATCCCATTTATTCTATATTTACGGCTAACAACTAATAAACTTCATTGATTAATATAATCACATTATATGATAGCCATAAGGCCTTTCAATCTTTTTCTGAAGTCAATAACAAATCTTAAGTTAAATGGTGACACAGCACATATGATAATACACTATTGTTAATCCAAATGATTAAGATTTGCGGCATCACTAAATAATATATTTACCAGTGATAAATACTACAATGAATGACTTGTAAATTAAGTAATCATCGTAGAAACAAGGATTTCATTAACAACAGACAAAATTCAAAGACAGATATTTGAAAGCAAAACTGATTATTATCATAAACATTTAACAAGGTCATGTATTTGTGAATAAATACTCACCCACGATAAACCAATTAGTTCAGTGTATGCTGGTGGAGCATAAATAATGATATTATGTGTAGCATCAACAATTATAGCAACCAGACACTTTGAGTGTACGCTCAATACTGATTTTGGAAAAACAGGAGTGCTACTACTAGTTAAAGGAATATGTATACCAATAACGGTACTACTAATACTGCTAGTAGTAGTAGTAGTAGTATCACAACAGTCTGACATCTTCATGCAAGTAAAAGATGATGATGACGAATCCGATTCGGTTGGGTGATGGCCTATTAATGGTAATTTATTTTGTGGTTTGATATTTGAATCTGTAAAATGAAATAAACGAATCAAAAGTTATAATACTTCGATTTATTGTGTGAATTACAGTTGTTGTATGAAAGTTTACAATACCACCTGGTTGGTCAAGATAGTGAAAAAGACCCATAAATTAACAGATTAAAATCGATTGAATTAATCATGTAGACTGTATATATTTATCAGAGTCAACCCAGCCATATGTTATAATTATTTTGAGAATCATGAATTATGTACTTTTATGGCAATAAAGTATAGATAAAAAAGGCGAAATCTAGAAGTGTTAAAATCCAATGGTAATTCCTATAAAACTGGCGAGATGGTAAACTCTTGAATTTCGTAAGGATGAAAAAAGAGGTCCAAGATAATAACGTAGTAATAGCGTAATTAATACTATATATAAAGCGTCACTTATTGAAACTTATGTAAACTATCGAGTTTTCATAAAACTTGAAAATAAAGTAATTATATGTGGAAAGTGTCGAAGTTGTATGGTAGTAGTACAACCTATTACAATCGTAAAATGAAGACGTCGAGTAAAAATCTGTTTGATTATTAGCATAGAAGTAAAAACAAAACAGAGAAAATTTAGCGAGTTGTTGTATTTGTAGTGCTTACAATTGAAAAAGCTTGATTGCATCAATATTTTATGTAATTTTATAGTTCCATTTAATCAAATCAACAGATACGGCTAGCAGGATAACCTGTCAACAGTTTGACTTAGTTCTCTCGAAGCACTGAGTTGAAACAGGTACTTACCAAACTATCACTAATTGAATCAAAAAGCTAGTGGGTGAAATATGTCATTATACTAGTACATTAAAAGTCCATTACGACATGAACAAACGATGTTTAGTTCCCTGAAATTTTTTGAGGGGTGAAGGGTTAGTATATAATGCTAAGTGAAATTCATCACGTAAAACTAAGTATGTCGTAGAGATTAAAAATTTCCAGTGTAACCGTTACTTTTAACGTCAGCAATACTTTCAAAGCTATCTGTTCACGATATCCCCCCCACATACTCGGTTTCATTTTCTACAACAGTTTGTTTTGCTTTCTTAAAATTCATAAGATGAAACCATGCAGTAAGTCATTGAATTAAGTATACAAACTGTATATTCATGTGGAAACTGTTGTCAGCCATCAGATCCTAGTACTTCATTTTGGAATTTATCACTATAGTAATTTCCATGCTTATGATATAACTCTCTGTAGTTACAATTACTTTTCGGTGGTTTCATAATGTAACAAAACTTCAATAAATGGAAGTTTTGGGTAGATTGGGTCGAATGAATAAGTCAATATAAAGCCTTCAATAGGAGAGGAATTAGTAAAACGATCCTCTATGACAAAAAAATATCCAAATAAAAACTAAAAACAAGTGTGGCACAAAAGCCACATTCATGTACACGGCAATGAGCTAGGTTCTGTTTGCCCGACCTCAAGCATATATAAAGTACAGCTCATAACTCTGACACACTAGATCAGAGTTGGGAATTAAAAGAGAAATAAAACTTCAGTGGGTAAATGACGCTAACCCGGTTCAGAGGAAGGATAAAGCCAGTTATACAAACATAACGAGTTGCTGGCTATGCGCACAATAACAGCTTTTTCTAGCACTGGTGTGGACAAGTTGTGTTGTCTAAATATAGTTGTAGCAAGACGATAAGTCGGGGCGAAATCAAGCTCTCCGATGGTATTTAATAATGAACCAGATTCTGTCAGATCGTTTAATATTTGCCCGGGGTTATCTCCTTCCAGTTGTCCAACCTTGTGACACTTATTCTTGAGAACATCGGCAGCCAGATTTTGTTGGATCGGTAGTGTTAAATACAATTCAACTAGCGCCTGATTTTCACGATGTCTTCTCTGTCTAGCTGCAATACGCGACTTCTCACGACGCTCATAAGTTTGCTTTCCCTTTGAATTATTCTCTGATTTGACTTGAAGATCACCGTTTTTAGAGATAATAAGATTATAATCTGAAGGTAGTGAAGGGTTGTATGATTGATTATCAACCTTGAGCTTTTCTTTTTCATGTGAAGATGCATTTTTCTTCCTGGATTTATTGTAGTTTCTGCTAAAATATTTGAGATAAAAATACAATAACTCTAAACAATAGGGAAAAATCCACAAAATGTGTTCAGGTTAATTCATTGTCACATAAGAGAAAATGCCACCACTCTTATAAACAATCCTTGTGATCCATTTGTTCTGCTGAGGACTATGTGCAAAAGAAGATAAGATATTGCATGGTTCCAATATCTATTCTATAAAAGTTCAAATATCAACATACCAAATGATTGTGCACTTTATCAAATATCAACAGGTTCTACAGTTGTTAGTCCACTGTAAAAATATGGACAAATTTTGAATTATGTACGGGCTGTTTAACCTGAATACCAGATGGTTCTTACATAAAAACTGATAAAATAGTATCTGTATAAAGTTCAGTGAAGAATGAACTTCATGAATCATTTTTCTAGCATTTCACTTTGGGGTCCGGAAGATTACTTTCTGAATTCAACCAACTGTCGAAATGTAATCTGATTGTTAAAGGTTTATGTGTAACAACTATAACGTATGACAGGAACCTGCATGGTGGTATTTTTTATGTTTATGTGGTCCAGATTTACAAATATAATCGGGATAACGGTTGACATTATTTAAATAATGACTACTTTTGAATTGTCAAAATCTAGGAATATATCTATTAAATGCTGTTGAAACTAAACGTATTTGATCGAATTCTGATCACATATTTTTAAAGGAGTTCAATTCAATTTTATGACAAGTAGCAGATGAAAATGATAGGATCAAACGGATCTTTCCTACATAGTATGCAACCAAGTACAAAACATGTGGCAATTGAAATTGCATGAAAAGAAGAGAATCTAAGTGACAGATCCATAACACTGTCATTAATTTACTTGAGAACAATCGATTACTTTAATAAGAATTATGACACAACACATGAAATTCCTAGCAAACGTTTTTATTATAATAAATCTTGTTTTCAAAACAAATAAATATTTAACAAGTTGCCGATATTTTAATTTTTCGGTCAACAGTAATTCCCAGCTTGCAAACACAGGTATAACCGAGCATATGGAAATGTTTAGTTTGTAAGTAAATTCCAGTCAAGACATACTAGTTGATAATATACAATCACTAGTAAACTATGCCCTCAAATGCCCTGGTACGGCTGAGAGTGGGGAGAGTCCGCTCTCCCTCTCGAAATGCTCTCACATGGCCACGCGTATATAGCCTCTGCCAGGGAAGTCCTACTCACTGTCTTCTCGCACCAAGGGTGTTGTTTACAAAAATGAGAGGACGAAAAGCGAATATCCGGCGCTTTAACCGGATCCCAAATTAATGGTGCACATGGGCTCCCGCATCCTGAAGGAACAAATGGCGTATGAACCTATCGTTGGTCACCGGCTACCATGGGATTGCATCTCCTTACGATGCTCCATTGCCTTGTGGGTCAGACGTTCAGGTCGAAGGCTCGGGGTGTGGCCCCCTAAGAAAACCATCCGCTTCGGTTTGAGCAAACGGGCAGAATCCCAGCCCTCACAAATCGAATGATTTGTGTGGCGCATATGTATTTGGTGCCTCCTTGTACTAATACCTATGTGTTAAAATAAATAAATAAATAAATAAAATACCCTGGTACGGCCGAGAGTAGGGAGGGTCAGCTCTCCCTCTAAAACGCTTTCACATGGCTACATGCACACAACCACTGCCAGCGAAGTCCTACTCAATGCCTTATCGACACATTACTGTTGTTTACGAAATTGAGAGGACGAAAAGCGAATGTCCGGTGCTTTGACCGGGTTGGTGGACACGGAGAGTTCACCTAGGCGAGTTGGAAAACCCTGATTCCAAACCAATGGTGCACATGAGCTCCAGTATCCTGAAGAAACAAATGGCGTATGGATATATTGTCGGTCATCGGCTGCCGTGGGACTGCATCTGCTGATGTTGTCCCACTGCCTTGTGGACCAGACCTTTACGTCGAAGGCTCCAGGTGTGGCCCCCTAAGAAAACCATCCGCTTCAGTTTGAGCACCCGGGCAGAATCCCAGCCCTCACAAATCGAATGATTTGTGTGGCGCATATCTATTTGATGCCTCCTCATACCAATGTTTATGTGTTTCAATAAAAAATACTAACAAACTATACTCGAATTGTATTAGCACGAACACATGCACCTCCTACAATGAGCACTAGATTTCACTTGTATTTAGATACCGAGATCTGGTCATATACCTAAACAAATTGTGGCAGGATGAATTTCTCAGTTATACTTAATCGGGCTGCTGTTATAAACACACCTGAAAATACGAAACTAGAAAATCATCCGAGCGCAAACATGTAACATTATTCACCGACATATGGATTGCAAGTTAACTATACAACATCCAGCTAGTAGACGAGTTATTTTGCAATAATTCTTTAGGATTATGCTACAAATAGTCACTATTTCAAAAGACAAACGGCGTCCTCAACTAAACCGACTGTTTCTACAAACGTAATAGTGGGTAATACTAGTCACAGCCAAAAAACAATCCTAAGACACCATGGAAAAATTTGTTTAACTGCAAGAAAGTGAAAAAACATATTTTACTTTAAGCTAAAGTACGGGAAAATATTCAGCGCGATTCCCACCAACATTTTGAAAGACAATCCTATCACACTTTAAGATGAATTTTATAATACCAGGTCAGATCTACAGGTTTAATATCGCTAACACCATCTAAGGGGCTTCCAAAACAAATTCGTTCACTGAGGTGACCGACAGTGAATTCCGAATCGGTTGAGTAAACTAATAGACCACAATCTGGAACCATATAATGTGGAACACAGATACACAAGAATATGATTAAAAAAAGTGACAAAAGGGAAAACTGGTCTGAGTTACCACGGACCGCAAAACTAGGACTCAAAATACCAAAAGCTATGTTGAGTTTTCTGTTTATTCTCAAGACGGAAACTTATAAGCAGCAGTGGACGTTTAATGACACACACAATGAGGATGAAGTTACTATTTGCCTCAGTGGAGGAAAAATGAGAGAATCTTGAGAGAAATTTGGAGGGACATATGATACTACCCTGCTTAAAACAGGTAAGTAAATTGTTTTTAAACTTCACTTACTTTCCGTAAGTTTTGTGAGCTCATTATTCATACTTTTTAATTCCTTAAAATATCTTTATTCTCACTCACCACAGCTGTTTTCAAAGTGTCTTCCTGTCAATGATTTCCTAAGAAAATATGCATCAAAACACTGAATATCTTACACCTGTTTCCCTGGACCGTGTGTTAACTTTGCACTCGAAGTTTAATTTTCAGGACAAATTTAGTCATTGGATAAACACATTTGCCTTTAATGTTATGATTAAAAGATACATTCTCCTCCGTTAGCACACGTTGATGAGCAAGAAAAAAAGCCAATAAAGTATTACTTAGTCACACTCCATCATAAAAACCGAGACAGATCAGAATTCCTGTTAATGCTCAGATCTAATTTCAAGCACACCGAAACCTTAGATGATTTAATGAAGAAAACGAAGACGTGTCATTCAAAGTTATCTTATTGATTTCGTAAGATAGTGACATTAGGACAGTAACCCTAAAGGCCAACAACCATTACCGCATTTACCCTGTCTATCTCGAGACCTTCATGATATTAGAGCAATCAGTAACCGAATTGTTCACAAGAAGGATAATCTAGACCATATATTAGTATTGTTAGATTTTATTAACAATATGCCAGATAAAGAATCATGCATATATGTGAAAAAGGGCTATACTTTTACAAAACAATGAGCAAAAATTTATCTATTCCTACGGCACACGTCAGGATCCCCGACTAATTAAAATAAATTAAACAAGTGGTTAGACTTAACATACGTTGGGCAACCAGGTAAGCTTCGAGGAGCAGCAGTTGGTAAGCACATTGTATAATGTGGTACCGCGACAGTTATCTTAGGCGGGTTTTGATTGTAGTCCTTGAAAAAAAATTCAAATTCAAAGAAAAAGTTTCATATATTTAACTTTAAGATAGATAACCTGGGAAATCACTCTGTCTATTCTTAAGTACCACTCAACATTGTCGCTTAGATGTGAGAAAAGTGAGTTATGGCAGCCAATCTTTTCAAGATCTATATAGGTGAACGAGCGATTCTTAAATCACCTTGAATGTGTGCGACACTAACCGTCTTAGTCTTAGAAATAAAACTTTTTATGTAGGTTTGATGGTGTGTAAATAAAGTCTCGATATAATTATCGTCGCACGAGCGTGATTCATCGAAGATTTAGACTGTTCTCGATCGATTGCACAGTGCATCTTTGTTAGGAGTGACCGAGTTATAGATCTCAAGGCACGAGGCACAATATTTTATGTTAAAAATCACTTCTCTGTACATTTGAGAGCATTAGAGGTACATGTGAGGTAGCTTGATGTATAATTAAATTTCGACATGGGTTGGTGATAATCTATCATTGGATGGTGGTTGGAGGTAGTCGACAGGAAACCCTGGACCCGGGTTTCGTGCTACTTGGCACTCGTCAGCAAGGTGTATCTAATCTTACAATAGTGCCCGCGGTGTCGAGTCACCTAGACTGTTGGCCACATTGCAACATGATCGATAGAGTTCGATCTGCACTAATAATAATAACTAGACACGCATGACATTGGTCACCCAGTGATCAATCAATTGTGATAATATATCATTGTCAATCTTGTGGTCATGACTTTTTCCTACGAAAATGTGTTCTTAGTGTGAGATTGATTATTACCCCATCATCAAAGATTTCAACTCACCGCATATAAGCTAGATGAAAGTTACAAATCTAGATGAATGTTTTCACAACTAAATGTTGTCAACTATTTTTCTGTGAGCACTTGTACAATGTGTCGCAACCCTGTGACATATTGACTTGGAATACGAACCGTCATTGCTAGATCTTGTCTTTACTATCAGCGTTGTGATTATACCAAAATTAGAAACCCCCACTAGCAAATATTTAGCACTACACTTTAGGTTTCGGACAATACAGTGTGTATGTGCTCCACCCAGTCACAATATCTGTCGTTCTAACATTCCGGCAATCAGCGACCGCGTTTTCTCAAAAGATTAGTTGGTCGATGCAGATAGGTCAGCTGAAGACGAATGAAACAGGTTTAAAGCCACGTTCGAACCCACAACATTCATATTCATTCTATGATCAACACGTAAGCAACACATTGCCCTCCACAGATCGGTAAGGAAACCCGAGAGCTGTTGAGTGTTCGAAAGGCTTCTAGGACTTGTTCTTGTCAACAGGTCACGAACCGTTCAAGTACGAGCACCACAAAATCCGGAGTATATATTAAAGAACCAAAGCTAGATGTTGCACCACTTACGAAAGTAAACTGGCATAAGATATCTGTTTCCCCAACACCGCTGTTTAAAAAGATTAGAATCATCCATGAAAAGACTGCTATCCAGCGTCGAATCTTCAATAGAATACAGACTAATCAACGCAGCCTGCCTATCAGCGGCAGTTACAGCGTTTGCCACTGCACAAACCTAGAACACCATACACTATCCCTCCAAAAAACGGAGACACGTCGGATGCTACTATTAGTCCTAAGAACAAGACTGCACACAAAGCAGCTGCAACCACTCATCCTCAGCCCAAACACTCATCTATCACAATCGAATAAGAAGCCTAAAAATAATCCTCCCATGAATCGTTCTCACAGCTACAGACGCTCAGACACTGCTGTACGAAATAACGCTAATCTGTTTGTAAAAACCCACCAGTACTAAAGAACCCCTAACCCAAGACACGCATGTTTCCATAGCAGCTCTACAAGAAACATAGTGAACTGGCAGTACCCACTCATCCTAACGTGAAACGACACTCGACAAGAACCACACCTACACGTGATACCCGTAAGTCATATAGTGTGAACCTCTCAAGCTCCATGAGCCAGTACACGACTACACAACACGAACATCTCTCTCGGCAACAATATCAGGCAATCCTACATTCCTTACCAGAAACATGAAACCTCCCCAATTACCCATAGTAGGACTAAAATTGCCCATTGTACACGAGGAAGCCATGATGTTGGCCTACTTGGAAACCCAACTACTAATTTTAGATACTTTCTAAGTCAAGCCACCCTATACAACTCTTTAATCCACCCTAATTCGACATATACACCATCCCATCCTTTTTATCTCTCTCCCCCTCAACAGTGCTGCTATGGGGTCTCCGAATGTTGAGGGCGATAATCCCATTATTCTGAGACCATCTATATACTCCGATCTAATGGGGAGTGGCACATCTTTCTCACTGTCGATAACTGTCTCTAGTTTTGAAAGCTCCCTGACTGAAACTCCTGATTACTTGACGAATACACTATCTAACCATTCAACTCTACCTTTCACTCTTAGCCATACTTTTTTCACCAAACTAACCTCAGACTACCTTTCTCGCATTAACCCTATTGGTTATAAACTAAATACTCGTCAACATGGAGTCAACACTTCCAATTCTTCCTTTTCTCATGGCAAAAGACAATCTGCTGGGTTTATATGAGAACCTTCTACTGGACAAACACCCACCGTACCCGACACTTATGCTGATCAACGCTCGATCTGTACAAAGTGGGATGACTCACCTACGCATCCTGTTACTATTAAACAACCCCTTACTTGTTTTGATGACGGATATCACGATACCACAGACTCATATCTATAAATAGACACCTATGAGCTCTTCCGCTGTGATCGAGTCACCAAGACGGGTGGTGGTTGTCTTGTTTATGTATGGAAAAATTTCAGGGCGGAAATCGATAGCGACCATATCTTCAGCAAACTTCCTGATTCGATAGGGCTTACTGTTCACACTTATGAATGTAATATACTAATCGGATGCATATATCGAGCTCCTAACACTCCTAGTTCAACTGACACTATTATAAGCGAGTCATTTGCTCAGCCTTCCTTGCTTGACTTCACTTACAAAATTGTATGTGGTGATTTCAACCTTAACACCATCAACTGGATGACACACTTTTGCTTATTGTGCTTTGAAAGCATACTTAGGTCGTTAGACACACGATTGGCAACAACATGTACACGTGACTACACGAAATCACAACATTCTTGACTTGATATTTTGTCGCAATATCACCCCAACATCAATGGTGGCTGGCGAAAAGTTTTGCAACAGCGATCATAATATAGTCGTCTGCACACTTACGATTTTTGCCATGTGCAACAAATTAATGACATTAAAAACGCTTTTCCAATATAGAGACTATGCAAACGCTGAGTGGGAAAACTTTCGATTTCTAATAAAGCACACTGACTGGAGCAGTTCATTTACCAGTGATAACCTCTTAGAAACATTAGAAATATTCAATACCACCAACAAATCTGCTCTAGACACTACTATACCCTCTAAAACTGCTTTTGAAATAAATACTCCCTATATAAACCAAAAGACTAGGTATAAGCTGCGTAAACTGAAAAGGACGTACTATATATCACAAGTCTTCAGTGCCCCGCACTAAATATACTATGTACTTGACAGAGTACAAAGTTAACACAACAAACATAATTAGACATAGGAATGTACTGCGCTCACTTCCGCACCTAAAGCCCAAACCTTATGTCGTCTCCACGCAAAATGCATAAGAAAGAACGCAGATCACAGCATTCACTCCTTACTGCACGATGGAGTGACATATGATGACCAAACCGTCATATGCGAACTCTTAAGTGAATGGGTTTCCCACAATGGGAATGCATCTCATATCCTAGATATCAACGTAAAGTGCATCAGCATAAATTATTCTAGTACCATAAACTTTGACATTAGGAGTATACATACTGCCATTAAAACCCTTAAGCCAAATGCGAGTTCTGGTGCCGTTGACATCCCTTCAATCCTTTATAAAATGTCGGGACCGGACATACAGACGCTATTAATCAAAATATACACATTATTTTTAGAGACAGGTACATATCCGGAAACCTGGAAGGTAACGTATGTTCTTCCTAAACACAAATGACGACCGAGAAACCTGGTTGAAAACTACAGATCTATAAATATCACTGCAGTCATATCACGCATAATGGAAGACGTGATACGACATCAACCATCTGATCACCTACTTAGGGAAGGCTTCATTAGAACAAGGTCCTGAAGTACATGTCTGATAGACTTCTCTAACGAGGTTACTCTCATACATGATCAAAAGAAACTAAGGGTTATACTATACTTCGATATTAAGAAAGCTTTTTATAAAGTACCTCATAACCTCTTATTCAACAGACTTCAGTCGGTTGCAATTACAAACCGCCTATTGCAATGGATCAAGTATTTTCTCACGGACATAAACCAAATACCCAAGACTAACTCTACAACATCTACATCTTGACGAATAACCAACGGTGTTGTGCAGGGTAGTGTATAGGGTCCTTTGTTTTTTATAGTTCACGTCAACAATATATGCAAGTGCCTTAGCACAGGCAAGACTTACCTCTACGCTGATGACTTGAAAGTCATCTATAAAACTGACATTTATGATGTACATAGTACTCTGCGAACCATCCAACATGAACTCAACCTGGTAGATGAATGGTACAAACTCTGGAGGTTGGAGCTCAACACAGAAAGGTGAGGCTGGCTCTGTATTGGTGACACATCTCTTGAAATAGAATTAGCACTTAAAAACAACACGCCGACCAGACTGAAATCAGCAACTGACCTAAAGGTACATTAATCTCACAGTCTTAATTTCTCTGAACAAATATCAGCCAAAGAATCTAAAATGAGGAAATTGCTTGGCTTCATTTTCCGTAATTTCTTTCAAAATGAACCTATCATTGACCTATAATTGAATACTGCTCGTTCTTATTTTTCAACCTACGCCTATCTGATGTACTAAAGATGGAAGGAATACAACCAGACTACACCCG